TGGCTTCGCGCCTCGCCCTTGCTGAAGCTGGCTTTGATCTCGCGATCCTCCCGCCTCGGCCTCCTGAGCCACTGGTGCCCACCACCACACCCAGCTGAAGCTCCCTGTCTTCCTGAGTCCCCTGCTGTCCCCTCTGCCATACTCCTTTGGTTGCAGAAATCAGATCTGATTTGATGGGGGAGGGTCTGTACGTGGAGTAAATGCAGGAGGCAAGGATCATGGGGCACCCTTGGGGGCTGGCCACCACACCACGGAGACCAGACCAGCCCTGCCAACAAACACCTGGAACGAGAGAGAGAGAGAGAGAGAGAGAGAGAGAGAGAGAGAAGGTTTGTGTCTTGTCTGGTGAAACCTGAGGTCTGGGTGCGTGTTCCCACGAGTTGTTGACACAGTGGGTCCTCCCCAGATGCTGTCCCTGGGGTTTTTCTTCTAAGCTGGTCAAGATGTAGGACTTGTCACATCCCCCTGTGCACACATACACGTGTGTCCCCCCCTCTCTAGGCAGAGGTTTGGTACAAGGTAGGTGCGGGGGGCTCCATGGTAGCTGTGCATCACTCACTCACTCACTCCTTCTTGCCCACAGGTGCCAGACCCTGGCTTACAGGGCTGGACAGCCCTGCCCTGGAGAGCTCACCGTCTAGCGCTGGATGCGAGCACCCTGAAATACAGTGGAAAACAACCCCCTTCTCTGCCATTGGGAAGCCGGCCGATTCCAAATGCCAGGGTGACGTGGGCAGAGGGGCCCCTCATGCCCTGCTGATGGGCGTGTGGACAGGGACAGTCATGGTACGGTGCAGTTAGGTGATACTGGGCTACGGATGTGTATTCTCTGGGCCCCACTCATCCTGCCCTGGGTGCGGATTCTGCATAACACGCTCAGGAGCCCCTGAGAGTCACGCACCAGCCTTTGCTTTAGGAGGAGGAAGCTGCAGGTAACCAGCATCCAGTCCCTCGCCACAGAATGGGAAGAGGAGGCTGGTGATCTGCAAACACCAAGCAGATGAGAGTCAGCAATCAGAAGCAACACACTCTGGGTAGACTCCGCACAGTGAGCGATGCGGAGGACACAAAATAAAACAAAATAGCCTAAGAGAAAGATCTATGGAAACTACCACGGTGTATATTCATGACCCGCTCACACAAATGAGCACCATCTATGTTTTATAAAGACCCACACACATCGGAAGACATGTACCCTGAATATTAGCATGGACCTGTGCGCATTGCAATTTGGGAGGCTGAGGCAGGAGGATCAAGAGTTTGAGGCCAGCCTCAGCAGCTAAGCAAGACCCTGTCTCAAAATAAAATATAAAAAGGGCTGGGGATCTAGCTCCGTGGTAGTTCAATCTCCAGTTCCACCCACCTCCCCCAGCCCCCCAAAAAGAAAGAAAGAAAAGTAAGAAAGAGAGAAAGAAAGTAGCATGGGTCCTGTGGGAGATGGGAGGGGATTCAGGATGGAGGTAGTCACCGTGTGACGTGATGCACACTACGAGACTTTTCCCCAGGACACAGGGACAAGAGCTACCGAGAAGCCACCAGGGACCTTGGCGGGGGATCAGGGCTGTCTGGTCTGAGGCAAGGGGACTGGCCTCACCTGGGAAGGACAGCCAGGACAAAGACTCAGAAGTGTGCAAAGCTGGTTCTTTCAAGAAAACACAAGTGCCTCCGTAGCACAGAAGCTGGGGTGCCCACGACCCAGCGGGAGGGCAGTCCTGTGCTGGCCCGGTGGCCTGTAGGGCCCTCCTCTTCTTGCTCAGCAGACTCCCACTCAGTTCCCAGGAGCCTGTGGGCTGCCACAGAGGTGACGTCACGGGGAAGACACAAGAGCTCTGCAGCCAGGCCAACTTGCCCCCACCCGTCCTCTGTCCCACCTTGGGCAAGTCCCTCTCTCCTTGCCGAACCTCAGTTTCTCCGTCTGAAAAATGGCAGAACCACAACACCCACCTCAGAAGGTTGCCATGAGCAGGAAGGAGGTGAGCAAAACAGAGTTCCTGCTCCATGAAGCTTGGATTCCAGTGAAGGGAGACAGAGGGCGGGCAAAAAAAGAAAAAAAAAGGGGGGGAATTGTTCACTGCTCTATTCCCAGTACCCAGGATGCCAAGCACATAGCAGGTGCCCAATTAAAATTTGTAGAGTAAACAAATAAATAAAGGAAGGGTGGCGACCAATGCCATGGAGAGACAGCAAGCCGGCTAAGAGGGGAAAGGAGGGCGGGGGATGTGGAAGCTGGGAGGGCAGAAACAACCGGAGTCCGGGAGGTCCTGGAGGAGCTCCTGGAGGTCCGGGAGGAGCTCCTGGAGATGGAAGCCAAGACTCAAAGGAAGTGAGGGAATACACCGTGGGTGCACGAGGAGACCGTGGTGCCAGGCAGGAGCGGGCTCCAGGGGTAGAGAAGAGGCCAAGGGCGGGAACAAAGTAGGGGAAAGAGAACGGGAGGCACTGAGGCCCCTGTGTAGGTGGACTGAGAACAGGGAGGAGGCCTCCCACTCCCCACGCTGCTCCCAGCCACAAGGGCAGGAGCCCTGCGCCATGTTCAGCCCTTTGCGGGTGTCCCTGGGGCAGACCCCAGCCTCCTTGGCACAAACTCGGGGATGCTGCCCCCCAGGTTACTTTCTGGTGTTACTTTTGCATTTGTTGCTGGAGCTTGAACCCAGGGTGCTCCACCCCGGAGCTACGTCCCCAGCCCTTTTTATTTTATTTTGAGACAGGGTCTTGCTAAGTTCCCAAGGCAGGACTCGAACTTGCCATCCTGCCGCCTCAGCCTTAAGAGGAGCTGGCTTTACAGGCTCCGTGTTTGTCCCCAGCTTTCCAAGCAGGAAAATCAGACTCCAAGAGGCAGCGAACCTTGGAGCCGGCGCCGGGTCTCCCTGGCCAGACCCTGACCGGCTTCTAGCTCATTGTCCTGAAGTGCTTTGTTTACAGCGGGCCTTCCCCCGGCTGGAGCCGCCGGCCTCAGACTCATTCATGGTTTTGGTTTACTCCCAGGGCCCCTTGTGTCCAAACCTGCCCAGGAGCAGCGAATGAATGAAGAGCCCACCAGGAGCCCCCTCCCGCCTTCCGGGCCAGTTCACGCCCCGTTTGACGTCCCCAGCCCTGCGCTGGCCTGGGGAGGGGGCGAGCGGAGGAATTTTCAACAGCCTGGGGGTCGGGAGCCCAGAGCAGGGGGAGAAAGCGAAAGTGGAGGGGGCTGGGAGCCCCCGTGCGGAGGCGCAGACAGGGAAGGAAATCTCCCCGTAATAACTCATCGGCTCAGGAAGCAGCCGCAGGCCGGGCTGCGTGTGGGGCTGGCCCCGGGGGACGGGGGCGTGCAGACTCCTCCTCCCCAGCTCAGCCCGGCTGGGGTCACGGTCAGGCGGTGTGGGAGGTGGGAAGCCAGGTGTGGGAACAGGCTCCCGCCGACCTTGGGTTCTGCGAGTTCAGGGACTCCTCTCCCAGCAACCAGCGAAGCCCTCCTTCCCCGCCCTCCGGCCCGGGGCTGGGAGGCGGGGGAAGCTCAGCGCGACCCAGGGGCAGGCATCTCCAGGAAGGAGGCTCCGGGGAGACCGAAGCACCTCAAAGCCCCTCCGCTCCCGTCCGCATCCTCTCTCTGCCACACGGGCAGCCACTGCAGCTGAACAGAAAGTTATTTTCCAAGGCCCAGTGGATGCCGACTCGGCTAGTCCCGGGATGGAGCTGGGAGCCAGTCTGGGTGACCTAGGGATCTCAGTGGCCACCATCAGCCCAGTTACGCTTCCCAGGAGGGAATGGGGCAGACATGGGGTGACCAATCAGAAGTTTCTCCAAGACAGGCACACTGGAGGGACGCAGCCTGTGTGTGAGGGGGCGCGCAGGCGGATTCCGAGAGGTGGTGAGGCCAGGCGGGTTGAAGCTGCCGTCCCGCTCAGCTACCTATAGCTAAAGGCCAGCTGTCTTACCTGTGAGTCGGGGTCATGCGACAACCTCAGCTGAGCACGGTAAAGTACTCAGCGCTGACCCCCCCGAGTGTCCCCGAAGGCAGAGAGTTTATTTCGTTCAGATCGGAATCCTCTGATCTAAAACCGTGCCTGACACATAGTAGGGCCAACTAATATTGTTGAACTCATCAATGAAAGAATGGAACTACTGGGATTTGTGTTGTTGTTGTTGTTGTTGTTGTTGTTTTCACAAGAGTTTTTAAATGCACATCCTTCCATAATGGAGAGAGACCGATTAGTGTGTTTTGATGTATTTTGTGTGTGTGTTTTCATCTTGGCGTGTGTGTGTGTGTGTGTGTGTGTGTGTGTTTCAAAACTGTCGTAGGGGAGGTGATAGGGTTGAGTCCTTTTTTGGAAAGGTTAGTTTTCCCCAATGTTCCCCACGGACATCAACACCATTACCAAGGGCTGGTACAAAGTGAGATTCCTGCGTCGTTCCAGAACTGCTGGGTCACAATGCGGGCGATCTGAGAAGCTCGAGTGTCAAAAGTCCCTTCCCCAAATCACACCAGAAAGTTGCCAAACCGCTGATTGGAATGTGAGGGCGGGAAGTCGGCGACAATCGCTTTCCGAATGAGGAAACAGGGTAAGCGAGAAGGGACTCGCCCGTGGACTCCCAGCCGCCGAGGCTGAGGACCAGGAGGCCAGATCTGAGTTCCACTCCGGCCACCCAGAGCCCCAGCATCTGTCCGGCCCGCCAGTGGAGACCCAGAGCCTTCGGGGCGGGCCTCGAGCTCCCGGGGAGCTTTCAACCTGAGGAACTGGGGAGACCCGCGCGTCGCCATTGGCCGGGGCACGTC